AAAAACCTTCATAAAAATAAGTTTAGGAAGGTTTCTCACTTGTTTAGAAATACCTTCCTAAACTTTTAAAAACCTTCCAAAAAATAAGTTTAAAAAAAATTTTCACTTGTTTAGGAAAGTTTTCTTAAACACCTTCCTAAACTTGTAAAAAACCTTCCTAAAAATTAGTTTAGGAAGGATTCTCACTTGTTCAGGAAGACCTTCCTAAACACCTTCCTAAACTTTTAAAAACTTTCAAAGAAACAAGTTTAAGAAAGATTTTCACTTATTTAGGAAAATTTTATTAAACACCTTCCTAAACTTATAAAAAATCTTCCTAAAATTTAGTTTAGAAATAATTTTCACTTGTTTAGGAAGACATTCCTAAACGCCTTCCTAAACTTGTAAAAAACATTCCTAAATATTAGTTGTTTTTTTTGTCAACTCCTAAAAGTTAGTTTAAGAAGGAATTTCACCTTTTTAGGCAGACATTCCTAAACACATTCCTAAACAAGTAAAAAACCTTCATAAAAATAAATTTAGGAAGGCCTTCCTAAACATCTTCCTAAACTTGTAAAAAATTTTCATAAAAATAAGTTTATGAAGGATTTTCACTTGTTTAGGAAGGCATTCCTAAACACCTTCCTAAACTTGTAAAAAACCTTCCTAAAAATAAGTTTAAGATAGATTTTTTGTAAAACACCTTCCTAAAAACAAGTTTACTAAAAAATATGTTTATGAATGATTTTCAATTATTTAGGAAGGCATTTCTAAACATTTAAGACACCTTCCTAAAAAATAAGTTTAGGAATGTGTCTTCATAAACATATGTTTAGGAAGACATTCCGAAACATGTAAGAATCCTTCATAAATTCATTTTATAGGAAGGTTTCCTTGCTCTTCCTAAACATGAAGAATCCTTCCTAAATGCCTTCCTAAACATTTAAAATTTACTAAACATGTGAGAATCTTTCCTAATTTTATTTTCTAAAAAGGTTTTTTTCATGTTTAGGTAGGCTTTCCTAAACATGTGAAAATCCTTCGTAAATTTATTATTTAAGAAGGTTTTCTTCATATCTTTCATAAATTATGTTTTAGGAAGATCTTTCTTAAACATGAAGAATCCCTTCCTAAATTTCTTCCTAAACATTTGAAATCTTTACTATGTGAGAATCATTCCTATAAATTTATTTTTTAAGAAGGTTTTGCTTCTTTAGGGAATATTACTTTGATTGCAGATTCGTCCATGGAAAACCCTCAAGATGTTTTTCAGATTTAGGTGTTTGG